CCCCCCCCCCCCCCCCCCCCCCGGCTAACCGCTGTTTGCTGTTAATTGTGGATGCGCTGGCAAACGTATTCCGTCGAATGCGTGTATCAACGGTTCTATGAACACGATGAATCAACGCTCATTGGGTACACACCTTTGGTACACATCACTCCGTTCTACTCGCTGCGCCGGAAGGTGGTAATCGAGTCGCGATACAATGTAGCACTCCTCAACTGGAATCCCTACTAAATAGCTGTACATATGTGGAGGATCATTGAACGCGTACCGGTGATGTAGGTGATCTCGGGCAGGTCGGCGACGGGGGACGTGATCCTCATGTTAACGTTCATGTTGGCGTCGGCGATGACGGAGTACCACCCTCCATCCTCTCCCGTGAAGTCAAACTTTTGTCCCAGGAAGCCGGTCATGTGGGGGTCACCTGAAACAGAGAACAAGTCAAGCGTCGATCAGGGTTTGGGATAGAATGTGGTAGAGACCGTATGAAACACTGATCACCCGAACACCAGGCCAACAAAAATCAGCGATTCCCTCGAAAACTGGTGGCGACAGCCTCACCGGTGGATAACCCACCGGTGTAACTCGGGTGGAGAGCGTTCCTTACCGCAGATCACGCCGTCGATGCTCTCCGACAAAAATACGTCACAAAAGTCCTTGACTTCACAGCAGATGAGAGGGTCGGGGCAATTTTCGTCGTCTCCGCTGCAACCTGAGGTACATTCGTAAAACACGAGCGCCGGGTAGGGCAATGCATCGTGTCAGCGTGGACATCACAGAGAAGCAGCCAGATGTTGGGTTGTTTTCCCATCTAATTCCGTGCGCCCATCCACAGCTATCTTACCCTACAGTCGTTTTGACAGTACCAACAAGCCTTGGGGTACACAGGAGGAAGTCCCCCTTTCTCAATTCTACTCCACCTTTCCCCCGTGATTCTTGCAGTCAGAATACGAAGGTCCATTGAATCTTGCCTAGAAGAAAAAAAAAAGCCTACGTTTTCGAGTTAGAACATTTCGATCGGTAGCCATGCCTGTGCACGCACTACGCTGCACATTTCTCAACGAGGCGGCTGACTCACTGCAGGTGGGGTTCAAGGGGAGGGTAACGAAGCCACAGTCAGGTTCGTTGTTCTCGAAGGCGACAGCCACCGTAATAGTGTACGCGATGGTGGGGAGAAGGGCTACGGTCGTGGTGTTCCCGGTAAGAGAACCAGCGATGTCAGGAATGTTGAAAGTGCCATCCACCGCGGCGATGGTGTAGCTGGCATCGGCTTCTGTCGGGATGTTTCCTATGATGCGAGTTTCGTCGAAAAAGGGGCGAGCGGGCATTCACGGAAGCGATTTGTTCAGCTGGGGTGTCCGGCGTGCGTCGACACGCAGCAAGCCTACTGCAACGCACAACGGAGTAGCTCTTCCACACAGTAACTGACTATACAGCAGCTTTGTTGCGGCAGCCAACATTACCACGTCATTCAGCGGTCCGATTAAGTCGGGGTCCTCTTCGAGCAGCTCTTGTGCAGTGTACGAAGTATCGCTCTCCTTGTGGCAAAGGCAACAAACGTTTGCTCAAGGGTGTCTAACATGCTTACGCCTGATGTTGAGTACTCCAGCAAGCATCACAAAAAAAACCTGCTGTGTGGTGAGCCGCAACAGTACCTCCTGGATCGATCTGTCTTAACGCCGCCATCGAATTCACACACAACACGAGCGGCAAGGGCATGATTCAACATCAACGCTCGTGTTCCACTGACCGAACGTCAGGAGGAAATCCGATCCATCTCCGAGGCAAGGCTCGGCCACCAGAGATGGCGTGACGGAGATGGTGCCCAAATCCTTCGTTCACGGGGAATAGTCAAAACAAAGAAACACGACGACAGGCAGGGTGAACAAGAAACCGTCAACAGGGAGCACGTCGTGTGTCCCAATGAACGTATTGAAGGGAAAACTGCTTCCGTAACCGGGTACACCAGGTCCTTCTACACGTGCGCTTTGCGAGGTACACGCGCACACATGCCAAAGGCGACCCGAAGAGCATATTGTTTGCAGTACTACCGCTGTGTGCCACTTTGTACCCGAAACGGAACGTTCGTACTTATGCCTTCGTGATTGCATAAAAAAACCTGGGATGGGATAAGAGTGCAATATAAACTGGAACGTCCCCCACAAGATCCCAAACGTCTCCACATGGAAAGGTCAGCAGCCGTTGCAAAACTTCAAATCAACTACAACGTGATGTGATGAGGACGTACCGGGCAGACTTTGAGGGCGGGGATCACCAAAGGATCCGGCGAACAGACGCACTTGCTATCAGGGCCAGGGAAAATCTCGCCGGCTGTGGTGCACTCTTCATTGTCTTGCCCATTAGTCTTCGCCGAGACGCAGTACGGTACCACCAACTCACCGGCGTCGTTCCCCACACACGGCGCCTGCGGCATTATATACAGAAGTGGTAGTGATTTGTGGAGAGGTTGTGGCACATGCTTCCTTCGCACATGTTTCGTGGCTCAGAAGAAACTGGGAGCTGTGGACATAGACGGGAGAGAGCCTCCTCCGCATTTCTATCGTTACGAAGAACTCTTCCGATGGTTGATTTCGATCGAGCGCGCGCGCACCCCGCGTGCTTCGTCTGTTCCAAAGGTAGCGCGGGGCACGGGGTCGATTTATTGTATCGATCGGAGTATACATACGTGGGTTTGGAATGGAACATCTTGCCGTTCTTTGTGCAGCCGATCAGCTCTGTTCTTTTTGGATTGGGAACGCCTGCACGTTGTGCGGACTCGAGTAAAAAAAGGCACTTGTTTCGACACCAATTCATGGACCTCTCGTTGTACTTAGCATGCGAGCACGACCCACCGTGAATTGGACCCCTGCAAACAAGGTTGAGCCTTGCTGGACGTCCGCGCAGATGTCGGTCGGATTATCCTCCAGGTCAAATGTATCCTCTTCGCAGTTAAACCCGTAAACGTCGCATGTTCCATCGGGACCAAAATCGCCAAGCCACCTGAAGAAATTCAATATGCTCGATCAACGTTATCGATGCCCGTTCACGTGCTAGAAATACACATCACAGTCGTCCTGGTCCAAACGATAATCGTTCTTGCGTCGTTTCCATCTTTAGCAAGGGACACGGGAACGGAACGGATCGGCCTCAACTTTGTTATCAACATGACGATCCGACCGGGCGTTAGGCTCGCCAATGCATCTTTCCGCCTGGACGCCTACATAGTGTGCGACCCGCACAAAGATTCAACAGCATATTGGCATCTGAGGTACTTTGTCACGACCCAAATTCCTTGACCGAAACTGAAAAACAACGATCTTTGGTGGGGAGTACAACTCTTTACTCACATTCCCACGTCCTGTCGATCACCATTACCAGTTGATAGGAATGTCAAGTCCCCCGTGAAGGTAATCGAGTCCCTGTGTGAAGGATCAACAGCACCACCGCCCACCAGAGGGACAGTTGTAAGCAACAAACAGTCGGAACAAGCTCCTCCGAAGCAAGGGACTACTCAGAACGCGCGGCTGGTTAGATCGCGTCTTGCAAACCTTGCGGTAGAACAAGTTAAAACACTGGAAAGAGCAAGCTTCAGGTTCCTTCTCCCGCTGTTTTCATGATGGAGCCCTCCTGTGCTCGGTTGGCAACAACTTCGAATTGTCCGTGCTGAACGTGCAGCAACCGCATCTATTAATGCATTCAAAACAGATCATCGCCGGCTATCCTTGAGTAGCTTTTCGTGGAACAGCAATCCGAGCTTCAGGCCGGTGGGCACGTGCAACCGTAATCTCAAAATGTTCGCCAATTCGTCATACACAAGGTTCACATTGGTTCCCAGACACTTACTGTGTTCCGTCGCAGAGATCGGTGGTCGCTTGGACGTTGGTAAGAGCGTCATCGTCTGGGAGCTGTCGGGACACAAGAACAAGGCAGCGGAGAGGACGGCGTGATGAGTGGGCAGCGCCCCAAACAGACGAACACGGCTGGCTGTAACAACACACCAAGGCACAAGTCCACGGTCCAACCCACGTAGACTAGTCTCCGACAAACACACCGCGCAAAAGGCTGGTTCTGGCAACACGGTCGGTGAGTCCTTGCTGGAATTTCCGGACATGCCACCATTGCTGCACTGAATTCGAAAACCCCATACTTTTCGGAGGTGGGTTTGGTTCGGCCCTGGCATGTAAGCTACTACTGTAACCCGACAAACGGACGGAACGACCGTCGCCGTCCCCAACCATCCAACCGTTTGCCCTCGCAGCAGGCTAGAGGATTTAGAACCGCACGGTGCCTCGTTGTGCCACCACGGCATGTACCAATCGAATGGACAACGACGTCACACTACCGAGGAATGGTTTTCTTCGGCATCTTCATGTTTGAAACGTTAACCCTTGTTCTCACATCGACATCTCCGGCGGTGCACGTGCCCCCTGCACTGGGGTCAATGCAATCCGCCTGGCCGCTGAGGGTTTCGGCAACCGTACAAGTAAAATCTTGGGCGGCCACTTGCAGCAGTTGCGGGAAGAGCGAGAGCCCGCAGGCGATGTACGCGGGCCTCACGATGAAGCCCATCCTGTTCCATGCGGGTAACCAGTGGGCGGTCAGCTACTCAGTCTACATGTATCGAAATGTTGCAGCGAGTTAAATCCTTTCGCGGGGGGATTGCCTTGTCTGCATCTTGTATGCATCAACAACCACGAAAACACGCCATGTTTCTAGGGGGGATTGGAAACACGTGGATGGGGAAGTACAAATTGCGGGATATTTATGGGTAATGGAGGAACGAAAAAAAAAGACGGGGGGAGGGGGGGGGGGGGGGAAGGGAGCAAGCCCGTTGCTCCTAGCTTCAGGTTTTCACAGTTGTTTGATCTCTTGTTTAAGCCTTCTTGGGCCAGGTCCGTTCCGCGCACACTCGGAAGAGAGTGAGGGAACCGGGCTGCTGGGATCTTGATCCTCGTTCAAGCTACTTGAAACACCCCGAAACAACCCGATTATCCTGATCCAACGAAAGTTCGGAATATCCATAAAGCGCTCATACACTTATGTTGTACATACCACGTATTTCCCAAAGCCGCGACTCGATCGCCCTACCGTTGACGCAACAGAGTAGTGGGGACATCGAAGCGAAACACGAAAGAACATCAACACACGCCCGACACCGGCGCTCCCATTCAGAAGAAGCATGCGCCAATCATCTGACGCAGCTGCCGGTAGTTTCCGAGGATTCTTATGTAGGCCAGTAATCTTGCGGCCGATAATATTATAGCGCTCTGGAGGACATTCCGGCCAACCACTTGGAACCACCGGAAAACCGTACCGCCACGAAAATCGCCGCGGCCAATCGATCTGCAGCAAATATTGTTTTGGGCCATCCTCTGTGTGGCAAATCATAAAAAGTCTCGTTGTGTTTGCCAGATCGGGGGGCTAGTCTACTGATGGATTCGCGGTCGTTGCGTGCAAAGCAAGGTAATGGAACTTCATCTTCGCATTGGTGCACCGTAGGAAAATTCGTTCACACTCGATTCGATGAAAAGTTATTAGCTTCACCTCGGATGTTCTCGATAGTATTTGCGCCTCTGTGACTGTCTCTGTGGAGCAGTTTCATCCTGAGCAGAAAAATCCCACTTCATCATGCGTTTTGCGTGAGATAGTTAGTTGCACTCCTTCACTCTCCAACACGTTACATACACACATACCTTAATAATGCCGACAACAATATCCGGGCTCCTTACCGTTTTCATCCCCACGTCGGGGGGGTTGTTTCCTCTCACGGGGGATTGGAGTTTCGTTGGATCAAGGGCAACTACAGCAGGTACACGAATGTGTTACATTCCTCCGCATTTCGCTCTCTCTTCCTTCTCACTCGTGACACTTTCTTCATCTTCCCTTTCCATTTCGACTTCGTTTCGTTCTCGTGGGTGTGGTGCGTCGCTCTTTGTTTTGCAGCTTTTTCGATTTCTCAATATAGTCTACAATGCAATGTCGGTGGCCGCACAAACACGAACGGTCGTTTGTGCGTTGTTGTGCACACATCAGGGAAGGCTGCCGGGCATGCATGGAGTTTGAAAAACAGGCGATCTTATTCTTCTATTCTACATGAGACAGCCCCGTTCTCCGCCGCTGTGTCTGACTTTCAATATTCCTGCCGTCTTCCTCCCACCTCACCGGTTTATATACATGTTAGCATTGTGGGCGGACGATGTGCTTCGTTATTTTGCACTCTGTAAGTTCCCACGCTTTCAGGCCTTCGCCTGCCTTTCAATTGTCGTGTTGTTAGCGGTCGCTATCGTCCCTCGAGAAAAAATGCAGACATGCAGACAGCAGCAGTCCTGGTCGGTCGATATCGTCCCCAGAGAGTAGTAAGCAGACTGCCTTTCTTTTTCGCGGATCTACCGATCGATCTAGACTTCTGTACGCAACGGACGGACGTGTCGACCTCACTTCGTCCAAGCTGACCTCGTTTGTTTTACCCCTTTGCCGTAGCGTCTACTCCCTCCGCCTATCTATAATGAATCGCAGCACCCACATCCCGCGCGTGCTGGCCGCCCGCCCCGATGCCGGGCGGGGGGGCACCAAGCGTTCCCCGAGTAGTTCAGAGACCACCCAAGAGAGGAAGAAAGAGGGGAACAGAACCAACCGAGGTCGGTTATGGTATGCACGAGCACTGCGAGTTGTTGTACTTGAGATCCTCACCTGCAACGTTCAGGATCTAGCTGCTGCTATCTTCTTGTTGTCGCTGTTGCCGATTTGGAGGAGGAGGAGGAGGAGGAGGAGGAGGAGGAGGAGGAGGAGGAGAAGTGTGTGAGAGGTGCGGTGGCCGGGGGTGTGTTGTGTGTACGTGTGTGGCAAATCAACTTGCGTTCGATCTTGCCTCCCCTGGCTGGTAAGTAAACAAGGCGTGACAAACTGGATTGTTCTTGGTTTCATTGGCCTTCTTCTGTCCGCAGCTTCTTGCCCGTTCAGCAGCAGTTAAGATGCAAACGACACGAAATTACACAAAAAGGTAAGAAAATGGTGACACCACTCCCGTGTGTCCGCACATGATCCGAGATGTGTCCGCACATACATATGAATGTACACCCGGTACATACATACGCGTACCGCATTGAAAATACGTTTGTACTTTCTGACGCTATGAATTCATTGCTAATCTGTCTCAGACTCTTTCTATGATAGAGATGGATTCGTTGTGTCATATTAAGAAAGAAAAAGAAGAAAAAAGAGGGGTTAACAAACAAACACCGACGAGAGAAGGGAACGGAACAACAGCGGTTGGGTGTGCGGTATGCCGAAGGACCGCTGTGCAGCTACTATAATATACATATATACGTTGTGTGCGTTGTTCCATAATATATATGTACGTACATAGTTGAGATCCTTGCAATGCAAGGTTTCAGGATCTGCTACGTTCTTGAGAGGACAGGGAGGAGAAGGAGGGTGTGTGAGAGGAGGTGCGATGGCTGGCGGCGCGGTTGTCTGTGTCGCAATAATTCTTTCTTGTTTGGCGTTCGATCTTGCCTCCCCTGGCCGGTAAACAAACCGTGACAAACTGGATTGTTCTTGATTTATTTGTTTTTCTTGCTCGGAAACTTCTTGCCGGCAGAGCATATTATGAAGGATACAGAGGAGGACTGCTGTACAACTACTACTGCTGTATTACGTTGAGATCCTTGCAAGTGCAATGTTTCAGCTGCTGTCGCCGAGTGAGAGAGAACGAGGAGGAGCAGGAGGAGGAGAGGAGGAGGAGGAAGAGGAGGAGGAGGAGTGTGCGAGAGGAGGTGCGAAAGCTGGTGTGACGCGGGTGTGCTTGTGTTTACTTGTGCATCGACCGCGCTAACCGGCTGACCAATGAAGAAGAGACGTCAGTCTCAGTGCGGTAAAAAAACACAAATAAATAGGGTATGCATGTACAGCATCAGTATTAGCTGTGTGTCTTTCGTTAAGCTAACCGGCTGATTGACCAATGAAAGACGCCAGCTCGGCGGCAAGTTAGTTGCAACAGACAGACCCAGAACTTACTTCTACATGCCATGAACTGGGACCGAGGGCGGCATGGAGGAGGCTAGACTAAGCTATTCTCCGGCAGAAACGGCAATAGAAGAAACTGCACGTGTGAGTGTTGTTGTCTCAAGTACTTTGTGTGTGTGGCAAATAAACTTTGTCGTTTGATCTTGCCTCCCCTGGTCGACCTGGTAACTGTGGGCAGGGCACAGCCATGCCGTGACAAACTAGATTCGTTCTACTGATTGTTCTTTTGTTTTTTTCCTTCCCCTGGCATGCTGGATTCTTGAAGCTGAAGTTGTTTTTCTCCAACGAACGCACCATGTTCTTCATTCAAGTCCGCCCAAAGCCCGAACAAGAGTTAGATTTTAACCAAACACAAGGCATCCCTCTCGAGTGATGTAAAGAGAGCACCGGGCCAAGGGGTGATGCAAGAACATGCAACAAGCATACTGTGGAGGACACCTGTCAGGAGTATAACCAACCATGTGTGCACATACAAAGTGTAGGAAGATGTGGCTTCCTCGGGGTATCTTTACACAAGGAGAGTGACAGGAAATGCACCGTCGGAGATGGATATCTTCCGAAGTCCCTGGCCACTTGCCGAAAGTGGAAGCGGAGGGACCTCTCCCTCTCCCGCTATGACCACTCTCTCTTTCTACCCTCTTCTCCTCGTTTACACATCACGAGAGGAAATAGCCTTCCGCTGGCAGTGGGATAATACTGCCACGGCACCGGCATCTGTCTCGGACAATAGCCAGTGTCCTCATTGGCGTCGACGAAGAGACGAAAGTGGACGGGTTTGCGCTGAAAGTTACTCAGGCCCGCATACGCCTCCTTGCAGAGGCGGCTCGCTCAGGTCCCTCCCACACTAGCCACTACGAACACGCATGGGACGTTTTCATGACTGCCACATTTATTTGAGAACGGCCTAAAACCTTAATTAGAGTAGAGTGTGTTCGAGAGGACCCCCCAAACTCATTTCAGGACGCAAGACTCCGCGCGAAAAAACACGAGGCAAATAATCTGAGAAGCGCAGCGTTGATCGATAATTCGGGTGGCTCAGTTGTGTGTGATGGGAGCGTAGAGCAGCTCGGCCATGACAGGCCGCACGGGTAGGTAAAGACGTGTAGACGTGGTGAAAAACGTGTTGTATTCATCGGGGGCGTGCTTGAGCTCGTCATTCCATCACGGCATCAAGTCACGCATAACGCTTTAATACCCAGAACGAATCTCCATGAATCTCCACCAATCTACTACACTCCCAAGGAAAACACAAAGAAACTTCTTGTCCCTCCGTAGTTCGTCACTGCAATCCCCGCATATGTATACGCAATATACCACCCCCATGCTATGCTACGAGTATATCGAATAGCCCCCCGGCTCGTATGCATCGTCATGCTCCAACAAAATATCAAAGTCATCCTTATCATACCAGTTCATCCCAAAACAAATCAAAACCAAGACAAAATCGAAAACTCCAACACCAAAACAATACCTCCTCCAAAAACAATCAATCGCATACCAACTCTTCCAAATCATCAAGAACAATCCCAAACATTAACCTTCCA